CCCCCCACACATGCTCCTCCTTACTTCTTCTCCCCGTGTCCCTGTGCCGATCGTGGATTTGGGCGGGCGATGAGCGTGAGGCGAGGAGGAGGTGCGGAGCGTGGATGCGGGCAGGTCTGGCAGTGGCGAGCTTGAGGTGGGGAGGAGGTGTGGCGCGCAGCGTGTGCGGAGCCGTGAACAGGGCCAACCAATCAGAAGCTGATTAATCGATTATTGAAAAAGTTGACAACTTTTTCAATAATCGATTATAATCGATTATGTCGATTAGTTGTTGCAGCCCTAAACGAAAGCAGTCATGATTTCTAAAGTAGTAAGCCTCTTTCAATATGATTTTTCCTGTCTATGATGTTCCTAACAACCACCTACTGACTTTCCTAGTTAAAATGCTAGTTGCCTGGTTGTTATAGAAGTCCGATGACATCAATACCTTCTCAGTCATTGACCAGGAACAAGTACATAGATTCCAAGTTCTAACTTTACTGGCCGCATGCTTGTTCTCAGCCAGTGGCTCAGAAGTAACAAGCATGTCCAGCAAGAGGTCAGAATGGCCTTCAGCTTATTGCTTTCAGTACCGGTTTTCCTTGATATATATATATTTTTTTTATTTATCTAATGCTGCAACACCATGGACCCGTTTGTCATTAACACTTCACGATGACAAATGTACAGAGGAGTGTAGGGACTCCTCCTCCTTATGACTGGGCACACATTGTCACTTTCTTAAGGTCCATGTAAAACTATCCCATTTACAGAGTGACAACACTGCTCCGTGATTTCATTGCAAAACACACAGCGTTGTCACTCTGTTGAAGTAAGTGGACAAATAACGGCTCTACTGGCAGGATCAACAGGTAATGACACTTTGTTACCAGATGGACCTAGAAAAACAAAAACTGCTGTATTATTGCTAGTGACAGACTACAACATGCATGCATCAAAATGAAGAGGTTGTCTTAACGCACCACATGCATGAACATGCGGTATTGCATCGCAGAGCATCACACTACAGTGGTGTGAACACAGCCTAAAAACTCCTTTTAAAAGCAACTACTCTGTCCTTAGTAGCTCCCAAGTCTTTTTCAGCATCACAGATTTCAGGGCCTTAGCGTAAAATCTAAGTTCACCCACCGTCATAGCAAATAAATGCTGAAAGAGGGTCAGTAAATAAGAAACAACAAACAGAAGCGTTAGAGTAGCATTAATAATAACCATCTTTATATACGATATGATTACACAAGTGTTGGTGCTCTATTGTGAGTCAACAGTATGGGCTAGGCTGGCTGAACTGCCAGAGTTGACTAGCCTGGGTGAATGACGGGATTCAACTGCGGGGACAGGGCTGAAGGAAAGGCGGGAGTCAGCAATAGGGGCCAAACTGGCAGAATGGCCAAGTCAAACTTAGGGGCCGGGCTGGCAGAATGGATGGAGCTTACCACCAGGACCAGCCTAGCAGAACGACCAGAGTTGGCTACATAACAGATTGGTGAATAACTGTATGATAGGCCATTGA